AATTCAGCCTGCTGTAGACTGTGAATAATTTTGACCATTTTTATGAATGTAATTAAAAGTGCTAGTTCTTTAGAAGGAAGGAATATAGGGAAATCACATGTCCTTCCAAGGCAAGGAAAGGAATGAGTGGGAAGAAAGGGGAATAACAAAGTAGATAATAAATTCTCTGCTGATGGAAAAAGAATGTATGCGGCAAAGTCAATGTGTTTTGCTATATAATGGAAAGGTAAAGGAAGTACAACAGAGGAAACATTTCACACTTCAAATTTGTTGCCATGGCAGTCTGCACAGCTGGTCTTGTATGTTTAGATTGCTTTCACGCGGAAAAGGTATTGCATGAGATGGCTAAGAAATACACTAGGTTTTGCTTACTAAGGAACTGCAAAAATTAATCTTAGAGTATATGTTTCAGATTCATCAGTGTGTTGAGCACTTTACAGCTGCAGAAACTTAGGCAAAAGTCAGTAGTTCTGAAAGGCCTCAGCTAACAGCAGAGCCAAGAGCAGCACTTGGCCAGGTTCTGCTTTTTTCTCTGCTGCTGCAGTAAAGCTCATGAAGAGGTCTCCAGCCTGAGCACTGTACTGCTTTCATTTTCAATGAACAGGGGTAAATGAGTTTCTAGCTATGTACATATCCATAGCACAAGAACAATTTAATCAATTTAATTGAATCTTAGGGTTTGATTTGTTTTGTGGGTTTTGATTTTAAAAAAAATACAAACCAAAACAGTCACTTCCCTTTGTGTTTTCTGGTAGTGTTGTCATATTTTCTTGGCAACCTTGGGGGCTATTTTGCTACTATGTGATAGTTAAATGCAAGTTTTCTGTGACTCCTCCAATACGTGGTTGTCTTCAGTGAAATCTCTTTGTATTGACAGACAAAGGCAGATTCTGATGCTATTGGCCTGGTTTGTACTAGTGTAAACCTATTGACATGGTTGTACCTTATCAACATTTTACTTGCATTTATGTAGAAGTTCACCCTTTGCAAACTTGTAGGCTTGTTACCTTGCTACTTATTAACTAACTCTGTTCACATTTAAGATCCTCCAAGTCTGTGTTGTATAAAAGGGGTTTTACTAATGTAGATGAGAAACGTAGCCTTCTTATGTATGATGGTTCTATCTTAAAGCTCTGAGGAACAGATAATCAAAAAAATCACTACTCTGTTTAGTGATGCTGGCTCTCCAATGACAGTAACAGGAAATACTCTTTAAACCATTGTATGGGAGTAAGGGCATCTTGTCAGATACTAGGCTTTGACTAAATGATGTAATATTGCAACTTTCATTTTCACAGTTGCCATTTTAATTTATTTCTCACTGAGTCTTAACACTCGGAAGTGGCTTGGACTGTTTTTTTTTTCCCAAGGAATTCACCAATGACAATTTTAAATAGGGTTTGCTTTTACTTGCTGTCATCTTACACTTTACAGCAAATTTAAAGGAAACAAACTAAAAATTTTGAAAGTATAGCCAGGGAAGTACTTTTATATATATGGGGTAAACTAACTGATCCATGGTGAGTGATCTTTTGGTTATATGCAGTGACTACTACAATAAATGTAGTATGAGGTACGTTATATTCTTAAAGCTAAATTTTCTTTGGGATGCCAAAGGGTATTTGTTGTTATATTATGTTGTTCTGGGAACCAAGAGAATTTCTGCAGGGAGATGATTTCCGAGATCTCATTTGTGGCAGCACAAAGGAGAGGAAATGACAAGGACATGGCCAACATGGATTAATCACCAGCCTTGTAGTTCTGTGGTGCAATGTTACTCTATCCTGTGAATTGCAGGATTCTTTATGCTGGAAAAAGTGTGTCTGTGTGTGGAGGGGGGGCGTGTGTGCCTTTTTACTTTCGTCCCCAGCTAACTTCACACTGATGAATAATGAGATTTTAATGATGTCAGAATTACGGCCCGGAAAATCTGATAACAACATGTCTGATTTGACACCCAAGTCATGCAATTTGTTATGTTTTCATTCAGTGAAGCAACATGTTTAAACTTGTCTAGAATAGGTTTTTATCAGGAAGGACAAAAAAAAATCACACATTACTGACCAGATACTTTTTAACACTTTTTATTGAGAATGTATTATGATTCAATAGTTCCTTTGTGAAGCTTTGCAGAAAGTCCATTTCTATAGTGTTTTGACATAATATTGGAGGCCATATCTCTTTGTTTGAGTAGAAATTTTCTAGTGGTTGACCACTTCCTTTCATTAACTGAAATAATTTATTCAGAGACCAACTCAGTTAGCTTTGTAAATGGAAACTTTTGAAACTAGGACCTCTACTAGGTTAGTAAAAAAGGACCTGTCTTGAGCTACCTATGTTAAAAATTCAAGCAGAAGCAGAGTACAGACATTTTTGTTAGTTCATTGATTTGACTTAATTGGTTTCAGCAAGAGGGCTATGAGCCACAGATCAACTCAAATATTAAATTTAATTTTGTGAGAAAATAACACTGTTAATAATGGCACTTAACTAGTGCTTACTTTCTAGTATACAGTATATACATACAGAAACATACAGTACACCTTACTGCTCAGAGGTTTTCATTTAAATGTTACACTTTAAGAAATAATTTAATAAATTCTTTGCAAAACCTTTTTACATCAGTAGGCTGATTTTTATCTTGCATATATACAGTATTTTATTAATATTTATTTAAATGAGAAATAGTTAAGCCTCTATTTACAGTCATCAGTAACGTTCATGTATTTGAAATGGAAAGGCCCCATTCTTGAGAACTTTGTATATTAAAGATCTGTCCATAAAAGTTCTTCCATGTTTATGATACCATGTATTTCCTTAAGTGTTTTACTGTACTTGCTCATCTGCTGTTCTTTTATAGAAATACTGCAAAGTTCTTAGTTTTTGGGATACTGCTTTTTAAGAGGTACCATGTGAGGGTGCTGCAGTCAAGTTCATAATTTCCTTAAGAGAATAGCAGTCGGGCAGCTCCATGGCACAGTTTAATTGAGGTAACTAATGCATCAAATTAACTCTTAAAAAAAGTTGAGCTGATATCAATTTTGTTCATTAAATTATGAAAGTTGTTTGCCTGTGTGATTGCCATCACATTTAGTATATTATCAAGGATACACACAAACATACTGAACTCTGCTGCAATAAAAAAAGATCAGGGTAAAAAATAAAAATTGAGATTTCAAGGGTAAACTACATAAAAATTTGTTTTTTCTCTATCTCTTAAATAGCAGTTTCTAATTTTACTATATAAATCCATTTATAATGTCAAATCACTTTGTAAGATTTGGGTCATCGTAAAGGAGTCAGTCTAATGAAGTAAATGTGAGTGGTGAACTGTACCACGTGTACAAGACCAAGCATGGATGGAAACAGAGGAGCAAAAAGAGAATTAAATAAATAGTGCGGAGAAGTGAAGATGATGAGAGAAAAAGGTAGAGAAATTATAAGAGTCATGATCTGCAATCAGGAATTTAACACAGAGGGAAAGGTACAGAAATAAATGCAGGGTCCTGTGGGAGACAGAAAGCAGGATGTCTTGGGAGAAGGGGGAAATACAAGTAAGGATGCAACATGAAAGTTAAAATTGCACTTAACACTGCCTGTTCAGCCACACTGTTTTGGAAGCCTCCTAGTAGTGGAAGCCTCTATTCGCACCAGATAAGCCAGTTCTTCCCTGCTGGAATTTTTCCTGCATAATGGGACAGAATTTCTTTAACAGATTTTACATGAGAGGTTTAATGTGGTACATTAGGAAACCTAATTTTTCTCCAATGGGAAGAAGAGGAGCCTACTTGCTTGACAGTTGTAAGGAAAGATTTCTTTCTTAAGCACTTCTGTGTGGAAGTGAGCTTGAATGCTCAAGATAGGTACAAATTCATAGAAAACCTCTCAAGGGGAAAAAAAACAACCAAAGCAGCAGAGGCACTATAAATTAGTGTGTGAATTGGACGCAATGATAAAGAAAAGCTTAATTTCTTAACATGGTTTTCATCAACAGGCTAAAAGTATCAAGTAGACTGATGTAGTTGTGCTAGATAGTTTTTGTGTGGAGAAAACACCCTGGAAATAGATGATTTACTGTATATGGTTTAAGGGTTAAAAACATTCCAAGAAAATATGAAAAGCTATTAGAAAAGATTAATGGAGGGTCTTCCACCAGGATGTTGATAAATTAGAGATTCTTGTATATGGAGAAGATAAGCAAAGATTGCTATGAGAAAAAATAACTTGAATAATGTTGAAGGTAAAAGATCAGAAAAGGCTGTTCTTCACCTGCTTCCCACTTAGAACTTAAGTGTGTCTCTGTGGTGACAAATTGGGACCAATTATCAGATGAGATTGTGCTATAAGCAGTGGAAAAGGTTCAATGCTGTTTTTTTTTTTTTTTTTTTTTTCCCCATGGTTTTTCTATACCAGAGGCTTGAAAAGCCACATTTTTTGAATAAAGTCATGTCGAATTTGAGTTGTGTTGTGACAGATTAAACAACAGAATGATTCTGCTGTGTTGCAGGGCGAGTGACAAACTCGTCTTGCTGCCCCAAAACCAGTGGGCAAGTATAAGTTTAACTTCTACCCCTCTCTGTCATTAATAATGCAAAACCAAGCTAGGAACTGGTAGTTCTTGGGTCAATGTTTCAGTTTGCTGTTGTGGGTAACTGTTAATTTGCTTCCTGCAGCATGTTTGTATTTCTTACGTATTTCATATACTCTGTAAAATTTGGCAATCTGGATTGGATTTCTTCATCTCCACTGTGAAACACAGAAACTACACTTTTACTTGTATACAATGTGATACTTGTATACAAGAATCACACTGGGAGGCACTCAGTTTCTGAGAGGTCATCAAAAAGCTGATGCTGGCTGGGATTCCTATGTATTACTCCCATTTTAAAATCTTGTATGTATTGAGGGATTTTGTATGGTTTCCAAACCTTCAGCAATGCCCTAGATTAAAGAGATTTTAATTTATTTCTTGCAAACATATCCCTTGAAAATACAAAATGTTAATCATAAACATATTTATTTTTAAGATAATTACTCGTTACATGAACATATGTGGACCATAACACTTAGCCAGACAATCCTTACTAGTTAAATTTTGATTTAACTTTGTAAACCACTGTGTCCTTCATTTTAATATGCGGAACAAACATCTCTCAGTTCCCTTAGAATTAGTTAATAAATATTTCTGAATTCTTGAAATGTTTTAGGATGCAAAGCAAGCACTGGAAAAATAAAACACATTTTTGTTAATTGTTATATCTAGAAATAAAGTCAATTTACCGTAAACATTAAAACTTAGGTTAGTTTGAGAAAATAATTTCTGAAAATGCTAAATTAGGCTTCTTTAAGAGGGGATTCAGTGATGGAGAAAAAAATTAAATAATTTAATTTATAATTAACATTTACTATTTGGACATGTGTAATTGGGTAATATGATCTTTAGTAAAGATCATCTATATCGTCTTCATTGAAAAATGCTATTTACTTCATCAAGGATAGCACTATTACTTCTTTGTACAGAAAATAAGGTAAGAACTTTTTCTATACAAGATTCAAGGTGCCGTGTCTTCAGTCAAGACTTCAGTAAACTGCTTAGTGATTTCTTCAGACAGGAATATTAGAGCGATGAAGACAAGAGTTTATGCTTTGGAACCGATTCAGTGCACTGAAAGTATTAGATATCACAGGTATTACAGCACATAGGCCAGAGTCTCACAAGATTTCATCAATTAATTAACTATTTGAAAATTAAAACTGTTTCATTTAACTGTAATGGAAAGCTCCGTCTAGGCTCCTGGTTGGGACTCCCACATTAACGACTCCGAGTGCCAACACAGCAGTATCACAGTCCCAGTACCGGTACACTAAGTACTGCGGTAACAGAGCACCAGAGGGGTTTTTCATACCTACGTCATAACTTGCTGTACCACTGTGCGTTCATGAGAGCACCCTTGATTCCCACAGTGTATCTTTTTAAGCAAACGTCGTAATTTGTTGGGAAAGTTTTTGTTAATGTATCTGTAGAGCAGAGGCATTACAAAGCTGCTTGAGAAAGCCAAGAATTTTGATAAAATCTTGGTAAAATGTAATATTCTACTGTAATTTTCATTTGAAATTCTTCCTTGTGCATTAGTAAATGTGCTTACTAAGAGAATAACATAATAGGGTGTCCATAACGTGAACTGTGTACAGACTGTGGCAATCAAAAGCCTGTGCACTGATGGATCTAATCGTCCAGTGTCTTGATCCAGTGGTGTAGCCTCTTTGCGTATTCGCAAGATTAATGTAAGTGCATACAGTACAGCGACAGCTGGTACAACATACCCGATAAAGACCATAATGGCATCTGCTGCTTCTTTGTTCTGCATCTTGGAACATTCAATTATTTTAGTGGATACGTGATTGCAGACGTAGAACAGGAGAGATGAAAAACTTGTAAGCATGGCACCACCCCATATGAATCCACAAACATGTTTGGTGTTGTACACACTTGACATATAAGTTCTAGGTAGAGCACGTTCAATGTAGTAGTCCAGACTGAGTAATGTAGTAGAGTACATGGTAACTAAAGACGAGACATTGAATAAAATAAGCAAGGTAATATAAACTTCATTGTTAGAATTCCAGATGGCCCATTTTGTGTTGGCAAGACCTAGAAGGTACATTGGTGCCAGAGCGTTGATGATGAGACCAGCAATGGCAATGTTGACAAAGTAAACATCTGGCATAGTCATAGTAGCTTTGTTATAGAGATTAACAAGGACCAGCAAGCCATTGTAACAAAGGCCAATTGGGAAACATATAATGAGGTAGAGTAGGGAAAAGATGGAAAGCACAAGGTGGAAGTCATGACAGAGATGCTGGTCCTCACTGTTCTCAGTACTGTTGTTTAAGGTTTCACAGCTCCACATAGTGATTTTAGCTTTTGTATCTTCTTCGCTGATTACCAGCTTTTCTGTAGAGAGAGAAACAGTGAAAATACTGTTGAAATACTATGTTGAAAGTGAAATGCAATGTAGTATGAACAGAACGTTTTAAAGATAGAGATTATATGCTTTACGTAATTGATCAATTTAAAGTGAGTGACTGAAATGCCTTTCATTTTGTTAGTCTAGAAGAAAGTAATATTTCAAATTTCATGAGACTAGTAAATGTTCTGAAGTTTTAATTTAAATTAGTGGCAAATGATTTGATACAGGACACTCAACAGAAGTAAACTGTATAGCTTTAAAGTAAGTACCAATGTAACAGACACGAAAATCAGTACAATGCTTTCTAAAATTACTAAACTGTACCTTTTATATAACTAATAATCTGTAAGGGTAGTTGCTGAAGAATTGAAGTATATAAGCTGAAGCACATAGCAATAAAACAGAGAATAGAGTTCTCTTAGGTGTTAAATAAGCCTTCTCTCAAAAAGATAGTTTCTCAGGAGGCACATCTGAAGCAGCATGGTGGATATATACTGAATCACTGGTAAAACTGACTAGAGGAAACTGGGAAATGAGGTGAAGGGTTTTTTTTTTTTTTGTTTGGTGTGGTTGTTTTGGGGGGTTTTTTGGGGTGTTTTTTTTTTTTTTTTTAATAGGTCAGTTTGTATTCAGACTTCCAACCTCTAACCATTTAGTTCTGAAAAAAAAAAACAATGGACCTCTGTAGTCTAGGGAACCTAATATCAGGGCAGCCTGGCTTTCCAAAATGCAAGAATTTACTATCATTTCCTCTCAAAATAGCTTGAATTCTTTAAAAAGTATGCTAGTATCAGTAGTTGTTGTCCAGCTATCTTTGCTTTATCATCAGTAAAGAGATATTTTAACTGAAATCAGTGAACTTCAAAGCAATCATGGAAAGTCTCTTTCCACAATACAGAAATTTGAAATAATCTCTAAAGTAGAACTCAAAACATCCACAGCCTTAAAATCGTGGTGGTTATTCCTGCCAGCCCATTTCTAGGACAGTGTAGAATTTATGCAGCAGGTGATTTCCCATGTCACATGTACTCTGATACTGTCAGATACTCAGCGCTGTTTTGTGTGCTTCCCTTCTAGCACATACAGGAAAGTATCAGTACACGTACCTGCGTTCCTTCCAGAGAACAAGATTTAATCAATTCCACAATAAACATTGTGCAATTAAAATGAATGTTACTAGACAACACGCTATACTACATGAACCATATGGCTAAATTATACAGTATGAGTTTTGTAAGCATACGGATATGTGGTTGCATCTCTCTTGTGCTAATCCTTTGACACTGCAGCCATAGTACAGAATTTGTTCCAGAATCATGTCAGCTTCCATTTTTTATTTCCTATTGCAGTTGTTCTGTGTGCATTTTTTTCTAAATACAATAGCCCGTGCCAGAAATCAGGCTAAAAATACAGTAATTTTAGCTGGGCAAACGAATTTTTATTCCACTGTCATATGTTGGATTTCTTCAGAGAAGTGGCTTCTGTAGCAGTAACACAAGATGCAGTTCTGTTGTTTTCAAAGCTTGTTTTCACCTTTGTGGAAAAACTTACTTTTTTGTTTTTTCCAATCAGTTCTTTGGCTATAGTATTGCATATGAGTAGAAAGTATATCTTTACGTTGTCTTTCAATGCTTATGCTATTTTTGAGCACTCAGAACAACCCTGTTCATTTTCAGGAAGCATCTGTTGTTTTAAGATTTTAAGAAAGAAAAAGCAAAGCTGTTTTGCACAGTTGAAGGCAACCAAAATTACATCTCACTGAATCAGGTCATAACAGTTCAACCAAAGCAATAGACTGGAACTAGATATTGCAAATATATGCATTATGGTGAGGGCAAGGGTGACTAAGCACAGGCATGGATACAATCACATAATTCCATTATGTAGGTTTATCCTTAAGAATGTAGCTTTGATTACTCCAGACTGAATTACATCAGCCACAGAATACTCACCTGTATATTGTCTCAGATCAACAGTCTTTGCTACTGCGCTTTATATTTTACAGAGCAGGGGGATGTCTGGTTTCACAAATGCTTTTAGTAACTACCCCTTTTTTTCTTTACGTCCTCTAACTGCAGTTTACATAAGACAATTATATTTTAATGATAGAAATGGTAGGCAACTCATTGTGTTAAACTGTAATCTTACAAAATTACAAAACTTATCTCCAAAATGAGCAAAAATACAATCAAAAATAAAAATACTTTCTAAAGAAATTTTGTTGATGACTTCTGAATTACCAGATGAGGTATTTTTGTCTCTAATGTAGAAATCACCCATTTCTAATTGTCACTTACCTGTGTAGGCACTGAACCTGTTTGCTGTGCTGTACAGGCCCAGCTAAGCCTTTCTTACCCAGTCATGTTTTTTTGACATTTTAAAGGCAGTTTTGCCTTCACAGCCCGTGTCAGGCGAAGTCCTGACGACGCTTCGGATGCAGTTTTACTCGGTCAATCTAAACTAGCCCCTTCTCCAGTCAAAGGCACTTTTGCAGCCCCGGGTTGACTCTTGCATAAGTGAGTGCTGCAGTCCTCTTGTTTACTGTGGCCTGACTCAGCCTTCCCTCATGCTTCCCCTGGTCTTGACTGCTTTTGTACTTTTATCACACTGAGGATTAAAATCAGAACTCAACACATGGGAGGCCGGAGCGTCCTGCGGCCGCCGCTCGCCCTCCAGCCCGCCTTTCCCACGGCCCCCACCTCGGCAGCGTTGCTCCACAGCCTCTTACCTCTCCCTCCCGTGTCACATTCCCCCGCGTTGCCGGGCCCCCACGCTTTGCCGGCGCGGTGTTTCCGCGGAGGGAGCCCGGCGGCAAAGCTCGGGCTTGTTTCCCTCGGAGAACATGGTGATCGCCGCTCGGCAGCGCCCGGGCAGCGTGCTGCTCCGCGCGCCCGCCTGCGCTGCACTTGTTTTTCCTCTATAAGTTACTCACAAGTTTCTGCTTGGCTTGGCAGGCGGCAGGCCCCTCCCTTCCCCTGTTTACAGCCAGTTTCAAGAAGTGAGAGGCTGTGCTTGGAGGGGAGAGAGCTGTTGTATCCAGCTCAGTTTAGTCTCTGGGTTTCAGATTTACTACTTAAAATATACGGGCTGCTGGAGCAGGCAGGTTTGTTATGGTATTGTCGTCTGTTCTGGGGTTCTCCGGGGACGTGGGAGAGGCTTTTCCATTCCCTACAAGTGCAATCAGCAGCTCCTGTTCAAGAGCATGGGTTTTATTTTTAACCTGAGATGAGAATATGTAGCTTTGAGGTTTCATTTTTATAGGCCGTACATCCTAAACAATCAGTATTTTAAAATTATTGTACTATATTATGAAGTGCACAGGTGCTTGTGCTGCTTGCAAAGGTGAGCGAGCTTGTAACAGAAGGTCGGAAGAGAAGTTTCTGAGCGTTTACTTTGAATTTGGAGATTGTTTTGGTGTTGTGGAAAGGCATTATGATGTGAGCCTCACTTGGTGGTGTTATTATGAGCTCCATTCTGTTTCCTTTTTTGAAAAATTGAAAAGATAATTGTTCTAAAGACTATTTGCATGTCACTTGCAATTAATGGCTGTGTGTATATTCTCTATGCCTTTAACATAGATCATTTCTTGAAAGAATTTTTGCACTGTAGATTGATAATTTATCCCATAGCGAATTTTTTTCTGTGGTGGTTGTTTATATGGAAACTCCTCACGCTAATGAACTGAAGTTACTGCCTTTGAATTATGTTTTTAACTGGCATCATCAAACACCACCGAGAACTACCTTTTTCAAAATAATTTGTCTTATATTTAGAGATTCTGAGGCTTTATTCCTTTGCAAATAACAGTGAAAAATCCCTTAATTAAACAGGTGTTTACAGAATAAATACTGGAAAACCACTAAAAATGGTTACATATTTTATGTTGAGTTACTCTATCTGACTGCAGGTTTGGGGGTTTTTTTTAGGCAAGGTCTTTGCTTCTTGGTTTGTATTTAATAACTCATCAGGAATATTGTAAAACCACTGTAACTCCTGAATGGCAGAAAATTCTTATGTACCTATTTGATACGTACTCCACAGAAAAAATTGCATTTGTGCTATGGATAATGATGTATTACAAACTGTGGCATCAAGTGTTTGCTGCCTCAAAGCTTTCGAAGGACTTTAACCGTCATCAGTTCATTGGGGAAACACCAAAGTAGGAAAGGTATTAGTGTAGAAGTACTTTTAGATTCTGATACTTGACCGAAAGCCAGTTTCTTTACATGTCATAAGTTGCAGGTGGTTTCATTTAGATAAAAATTTGCATGAGGTACGTACAAAAAACTTCTTACAACACTGCACAAAAAGTTAAGAGCAGTTGCTGGCAAAAATTATTTTAGAAAAGATGCATAAAATGAACTTTAATTACAGAGAAAAAAATGAAATGCTGTTTAGTTGAATTACAGAGTCCATAGCTGCAGTTAGTTTTTTTTTCAGACATTTTCATTCATAATGCAGCACTAAGTTGCAGAGCAGGTTGGTTAACAGTTTCAAGCATGACCATTCCACGATCTGGTTATTTTATTTAACTTAAAATATCCTGAACCTTTATCCAGCTATAGCACTATCTCTTGCTCTGCAGATTTTTTTGTTTAGACAATAAATGATTTTGTCTAGTTGTTTTGTTATCATCTATATGTGAAATAGCTCTTATCTAGATTATCTAACCTCTGAATATGTGTTTTCACAAGCTATAATTTCATTATAAACCACACATAGCTAATAAAGATGTTGCCAATGAAGTACGTCTCTAAACAGGCCTGAGACTCCTACATTCATCAGGTCTTCTAGAGTTCCCACAGGATCTCTTAATTCCTCCAGAGACTGGAGCACAAGGGTACTGCATACGGGAGGGCTGAGTGCTGCGTAGAGCTTTGCTGGATGGCACAGATTTGCTTCAGTTCCAGACTGAAAAGCTTGGCCAGAAGTGTTGCATATATGCATAAATCATGACTTAGTAGACTGTCAGCAACTCATCAGG